TATCTGTTATTGACCAGAGTCAGTGAACGCACCACCACTATCTGTTACTGACAAGAGTCCATGAACGCACCACCACTAAGGACAGAAGGACAGTTTGGTCTCAAAGAAACTGAATTAGTAAATTCTTACAGAAACCCACCCAGAGGTTTTTGTTTCTTGTTTAAAAGTTAAAGACCATAAAAACATTATTTATTAGAAATAAAACAGGAAAGTCTCTCCTGGTGTCCAGAAGTTAAACTCTTTGTTCTCAGGTATTGATTCTGTCTTCTTCGTCTCTGTGCTCAGTGCCCTTCAAGCTGCAGGAGGGTGAGGTCCGCATCATCTCCATGTCTCAGTGTCAGTCCTACTTCGACATGAAGACCATCACTCCCAGAATGCTTTGCGCCGGATACGAAGCAGGAACAGTGGACTCCTGCATGGTACTGTCTCTGTCTCAGGACAGTAAACCTGTCTCACTGCTGCAGCGTCTCCTGCTGGTCCTGACCTGCACGATTTATTTGTTGTTTTGACCTGTTGCAAAGAAAAAAAACTTTATTATTATTATTAATAACACTTTTATTTTTATTTATTATTATATAAAAACTTTATTTTTTAATATTCCTGATGTGTGTGTTCTTTATGTCCTTGGTGTGTGTGTTCAGGGCGACAGCGGCGGTCCGTTGGTGTGTGAGGAGCAGGACAGCGGTCGGTGGACTCTGTTCGGTCTGACGTCGTGGGGCAGTGTCTGTTTCAGTAAAGTTCTCGGACCCGGAGTTTACAGCAACGTGACCCACTTCACCCCCTGGATCCAACAGCAGATCTACATGCACACCTACCTGACCGACTGACTCCGCCCCTTCACACATTGAACACTTCCTGCTATAAGCACCCAGTCATTCCAGGAGGAAGTGATGTCACTGTCAGTATTAACTCACTTCACCTCCTCTTCCTGTGCCTAAATCTGTACTGAGAGCCTCCAGCTCTATGCTGAGGGATAAAACTACAAACTCTGACAGGAAGTTGATGTATGAGCTGAGGGATAAAACTACAAACACTGACAGGAAGTTGATGTATGAGCTGAGGGATAAAACTACAAAACACTGACAGGAAGTTGATGTATGAGCTGAGGGATAAAACTACAAACTCTGACAGGAAGTTTATGTATGAGCTGAGGGATAAAACTACAAACACTGACAGGAAGTTGATGTATGAGCTGAGGGATAAAACTACAAACTCTGACAGGAAGTTGATGTATGAGCTGAGGGATAAAACTACAAAACACTGACAGGAAGTTGATGTATGAGCTGAGGGATAAAACTACAAACTCTGACAGGAAGTTGATGTATGAGCTGAGGGATAAAACTACAAAACACTGACAGGAAGTTTATGTATGAGCTGAGGGATAAAACTACAAACACTGACAGGAAGTTGATGTATGAGCTGAGGGATTAAACTACAAACACTAACAGGAAGTTGATTTATGAGCTGAGGGAT